CTTTTGGTGAAGGGACTGAGTTTTCCAGCAGTGCAGAAACCTCCCAAATCATAAACCTTTAGGTATGTGCTAAGCCCAAGGAAATCTGCTAAGCTGCTTCCATCCTCTGAGGTGAACTCACAAAACCCATTACAGGGGACTGGGAAGGGCTTACCCGGAGCAGCTGGGTCATACTGGGATGGGGGTTTCCCTCTGCCTGTTCCTCTTCCTGGCCTTCAGTGCTCGCTCCACACGTCGTGGGCTCTTTCTTCACATTATCCAGTCGATACAAAATGTGTTCAGAGCCAGAGGAGGAATCCATGGGCTCAATCCCGTAAGTGACATTCCCTATTGTCACCAAGCCCCTAAAACATGGCAGTGTGTGAGAAACCCAGCACTAAGCACAGAGGGCAGTTACCCAGAAAGCAGAACAAAGGAACAGTTATTGCTGGATAACCAAGGCCTGCCTGTATCTCAGTCCTTGCAAACCAGCACACTCCACTTCAGGCCTGGCAGCAGCCTTTCACTGGAGGGGGCCTTACAAATCCAGTAAATTAAACACTTCTGTAGGAATCTGCAATGCCCCAGGAATTACATCACAGGCCTTAAGCAGAAATGCTTTAGTTCAAATACACTATTGCCACTCTGGTGCCTGGCATGGCCCTGCAAAAAAAAAAATCAGTGGCTCAAAACATTAGACCAAAAGGCAATCAGACCAAAGCAGAATAAATTTTCAATCAAACTTGAGGTGCACAAGCTTTAGGGCCAATTTGGTGAAATTTGCAGACTAGTGTTTGACTTTTCATTTCTGCACTTAGGTCCAGTTCCTTGACATGACCATCTGTGCAAATCAGAAAATAAGAGAAATCTGTGTCAAAACCAACCTACTGGTAACAAACTGCAGTAATAACTTAATAGTACTTCAAATATCTGGGAACTCCACGAATAAAAGATGCCATAGGACAACAGCACCAAGGCAGCTCGGCCTGGCCAGTGACCCCCTGACTGGCTGAGCTGCAGCTAAAACCAGCAGAACTGGGTTTCAGGGTCAGCAGCCACGACATGACAGACAGGACACAAAGGATGAGGTGTGCTACCTGAGCCCTGAGCAAGTGCTGACAGCCACCACGGAATCCAGGGTCCCCTCCACGTGTCCCTGATAATGGCAGTGATCCTGGGGGGGAAAACAAGGGCGTGTTACACACGTGTTCCAGGAGTACCTGCACACCCAGGGGGACCTCTGACCCACCACTGACCAGCTGTGACTACAGTCTGAGAAAACAAAAGGCTTGCAGTTAGATTCACCACATGCCTTACAGTCTGCAGCTTCTAACACTGTTCCAGCTCTACCACATTTGCTCACGTGCATCTAAAGGTTTCCTCACCTGCCTTGGTCCCACGAGAACTGACACACATGGCACCAGCCAAGATGCCAGGACACAGGACTCAGCAGGATCCCTGCTCCTGTAAAGCAGACGCTCCTCCCAGCTCAAAGGGGCCAGCAGCTCACTATGGGTTTCAGTTTGAGAGCCCACTGGCCCCTCAGCCCTTCCTCCTGCAGCCAGACTCGGAGCTGCCGACACGGGAGGGACACCAGGAGAGCAGGCCTGGAGCCTTATCCAGCAGCTGGATTTCTTAACATGACCCAGGCTACCCCTTCTCCTGTTCCATCCTCCACCCTGCCTCAAACATTGAGGCCAGCCCCTCCCTACAGATTTGGGCCAATTCAGTCTTCTGGCAAACAGTCCGGCTTGTCCACGGCCTCTCTGCAGCAGGAGGAGGGACAGGATCTGCTGTCCTCACCCACCAGCACTGCCACAGCTCTCTGGCTCTGCAGGACAGCCCTGACAGAGGGAACACTTTCCCTGTGCCCTCCAGATACATGTATCTTAGAAACTAGACAAGGGTAGCACGGGGCAAATACACTCCATTTTCTCTGGCAGGGGCATTTCTGGACACTTACAGGGGTTTATAATACAGACTCTGTCACCTGTTGCTCAGCAAGGAAAGCAGAAAGCACTTAAGGCATGTGCTAATCCTTCAGGGCCACTGTGACTCTCACGACCTCGTGAAGAAAAAGCATTTTTCCTCTGCTCAATCCCTTTTAACTAGGAAGCAAATACTCAGTTGACTCAGGTGTTCTACTTTCAAGAACAAGATCCTATGAATCATGCATGACTAACACTTCCCTTTCAAAGGAAGAGTGGAGCCATCAGAAATACTCTCATGCATTTTGTATCACACAACCTGCTTTTTACTCCCATTCCACTGGAGCAGTTACATTTCCACAGGCAGCCTGTCAGGCAGGCTGCTCGTGCAGGAGGAGGCTGCAAATGCACTTTGAGGGGAGTAACTCCAGTGCTGCACAGATCACATCCTCTCAGAGGTCCTCCATCTCAATCATCCCTTCCAGCAGCTCCCAAACTTCAGGACTAATGGGTCTCCTGTCAGCCCCCCAGAGGGGTCAGTCACCACGAGCCAGCCCTGCTGAATGGAGGGTCAGCAGTGACCGTTCACGCTGGCTCGGGGACCCTTCTGGAAGCCCATTGTGTGCAAAAACAAAGCAAAGCTGCTGTACAGTCCCCAGAGCACCCAGTGCTGCCCCACAGGCTCCTGCCCTTGGGAGAAGGAAGGCAGAAGTGACACCAGCCCCACGCTGGGCTGTGTGACAAGGACAGGACTGCTCTGACAACGAGACAGCGACAGCTGAGAGCAGCACTGCCTTTTAGAGAAAGAGCAGCTTTTAATGAGACAGCAACCACCTCCACATCAGAAAACACGTGTCTATTACAGGCTAGATCCTCATCCAAAATTAAGGATTCTCTCCAGGAAGAGGGCAGTGGGTCCTGAAGGTGGCCCAGCAGAAAATACAACTATCCTTTTGTAATCCTTGACTTCATAGATTCTCAGTGTTCCAGTCACCTTCAGTGCAGGCATGAAAAGAAAGAAATCCTACCTGGACATCTGGATATTCCAATTGCAACTTTCCCTCCTTGTCATAGGTATAAACTGTGAAATCTTTGGGCAGCAGTTCTCTGCAAGGAAAGGGGAGAAGGAACACAAGAGGAATTTCACGAAATGACACTTGAGCAGAGGACCAAGATGATACTAATCAAAAGTGTGACAAATATGTAAAATGCAATTAAATAAGGAAGCGCTCAAAAGGAAAAACCTCCAAAATTAACGAAGAAATTGTGCATTTCCACAGCAAAATCCTAGAGAGCAGAATAGTGGAACTGTTAATGAAATCAAATGAACCACTCAGAGGGTAAAACAAGCAGCAAAACCCATTCAATTGTGCTAAAAGCCTGTTTTCAAGCAAGAAAAAAAATCCCAGCCCTCAGTCTGCTGCACATGCCTTCTCTTGCCCAGTTTTGGGAGAAAGTGCACTGGGAAAGTCTCCCACGACTAAGATTGCTGCGCCATCCTGGTAATTCCATTGATGTGGTGCAGCTGAATTCCCACGTCTCTGAGGGTCAGAGCCTTGGCAAGTGGCAGCTGGAGCTCCCCAGGGACTTGTACAGTTGTGTCTCTATCATGAGGGCAGCTTGGAGCAGCAGTGGCCACGTGCTGGTGCTCTAAGTGGCCCTTTAACACTTCAGCCCCAAATTGACAGCATCTGTCTTGGCTGGGAGCTATCAGTGGCCCTGGATGGAAAGTCAGTTCCCTCATTTATTAGTGTCCTTGTGCTACTGAGACAGGAAAAAACACAAGCCTAAAGCAATAAACCAAACCCAGACAAAAGTGAAAATATTTACTCGAAATGCAGTTCAGCTTGTTTATTTTTAGCTGTGAATGGAAAGAGTCGCGTCCACGGTTTCCCAGATCCCCTCTGAGCAAACTGCAGCTTCCTGCTCTGAAAGGGGATCCCAGGGCTGCAGGAATCTAAAAACGTCTCTGGCTGATAGCCAGGACTCTGGGACTCAATCTCTTCCCTTTTTGCAGAGCTGGGATGTTCCTGCACTCCCCACAGAGAACCCCAGGAAGTGGAACTCGTGTGCTACCTGCCAGCTTGTCACCTGGACACCACAGATGGAAGGAACTCATCACTTACTTGTTCTTCTCCAGATGAATCGTGTATTCCTGTCCCTCGATCTCGATCGCATACGACACTTTGTCCTGAATATAAAAACAAAAAAAGTTGCATTTTACTCGTGTCAATGAAAAAAACATTCTTGGAAATCCACAAAAGCGAGTGAGCCTGGAATCTGTTTTATAATTGTCCCTGCCTCCAGAAGCTGGCATCCCTTCCTGTGTAACTGGGGAATGATTTCTCGACCCCTCTTGAAGCTCATTCCAGTGCTGAACAACTCTCATGATGCAACTTTTTACACCCAGATCAAAAACCCACTGCAGCAACTGGTGGTTAGCTACAGGCAGTGCTGGAGGTGATACCCTCTGCAAGGATGGATGCTTGCCTGCTGCAGGATGAGTCTGACAGCATTCCATGAGCCTTTCAGGCCAGTTTTGGGTGGATCTCGTTAGGAAGCAGACACTAAACTGAAGGTGAGGCTGCCCAATACCTGCACTGAGGAGCTGTTGGAAGCCTCTCGCCGTTCCCTTCCCAACCTCTGCGGGGTTACAACTTCATAGGAAGAGAGCAGGGAAATCTGCTGGAAACCTGGAAAGCAGGAGAGAAACGCTGGCTAAAGGAACAAAGCAATCAGAAGCACCAGGCACAGGGAAGAAAACACTGTCTCAGGAAAAGCACAGAGGAAACCTCCCAGCAAGACACGCCTGGATTGCACACTTGGGTTGCCTTGTGAGGGGCCAGAGAAAACAACACACAAACAGCAGAGAAGACACCAAATTTACCAGAAAGTTTCAAAACTAAACCTTCCCATTCCAATTACTGCCTTACCAGCACCCATCTCCCACACCACCACCCTCCACCAGCAGGAATGGAGCATTTAAAGGGGGTCAGTGCAGGGAGGACTCGCCCAAGGACACCCAGGCAGTGTCAGCCCAGGTGTCCTGTGCTGCAGAGCTGCACAACTGCCCCGGCTCAGNCCCTTCTTTCCTCAACTTCCAAACAACAGGCTGGAGTCTTCTACCTGGCAGTTTTTGCAGCAGTCACCGTAAGCACATTCAGCACCTGATCGGAGCCTGCAAGTTCCTGGCTCGCAGCACGGGTCACTCTCACATTCCTGAGTACAGAAATACTGTGAGTGTCACAAAACTGTCCCCCCTGAGCAAGGGGCACAAGGCTGCCCTAGCAATGCCCAGCTCCGAACCTTTGGTGAGCCACAGTCACAGTCCTCCCCAGCATCCACCAGCCTGTTCCCGCAGTACGGGATGCTGTAGGTCTCGTCGGGCCTCGGAACGTTGAGCAGGCAGCTCCCACCCTTGTTGAGTGTCAGCTTCTCAAAGTCTTCTGCACTGCAGCTGCTGAAGTTCCTCGATCCCCTGCAACAGAGAGCACGAGCTGAGCTTTACTCTATGAAAACCCACGAGCATCCCCTCTGTCTGCAGAACACGGGTGGTGTTTGCTCTCCCCATGAGCTACAAGTCCGACACTGCTCTCTGAAAGGGGAATTTGAAGACAAAAGTAATCCACAACAGTGAAGTACATGGATGGGGTGTTTTGACCCTCCTTTGCCTTCCCTGGGTGAGCTACTCACGATGCTCCAGAGCTCATGATGCAGCTGCTGGCCCCGCAGTGACAGCCCCGCTGGTCATCGTGGTTCATGCCCAGGTTATGGCCAAGCTCGTGAGCCATGATGGATGCAAACAGCTGGATACTGATCCTTCCAAACTGCACAGGAGTGAAACAGAAGGCAATCAGAAGAGAACTTATACTGACACAGTCAGTGTTTACATATGTGCCAAAGAGACACTTCTGCTGTTCTGTCTCTACATTATCAGGACTCTCAGATCAACAGTGCCGGGTTTCCAATCAAGTGCATGGAATTTGCTTAGTAATAAGAGCCTTCAGAGAAATCTCTTTGGGACACTACCCAACAACCTCTGCTTTCTGGAGCAGCTGCAACGTTAACACAAAACCCAGAATTCTCCACACCAGCCCTGATCTCCTGAAACGTGCAAATTCCAGCACTTCTGTCACTAGTCCAAGGAAACCAGACTGCTGGGATTGCCAGTTATCCAAGACCAGCAGCTCAGTTCATTAAGGCTCTGCAATTCCACATAAAACAGGCAGTGAACTGGCACTGCTCAGGGAGGTCATGGCTGCAGGTTAGACAGCACAGGACAGATTTGAGAACACCCACAGCTCCCACACACTTCCAAGTCAGGAGTGATTAAAATATCACAGAGAAATCCTGTCCCTTTTGCATGAGTGCTGCACACTGAGCAGAGAAGTTGTGATCCAGATATCCTAGAAGTGTCAGAAATGGTTGAGGACAATATAAAAGCCCCCAGTAAGCCACTTCAGCTTGGTTATGAAAGATTCTGCACTTCCAGGAAGACTTCTGGAGTGCAAAACTCCCATCTTGATCACATTCAGAGATCACTAAAGAAATCTCACCACGTTAATGCCTCCTGCATGGCTCTTGGAGCACACTGTTCCCACGTAGGCCATTCCAGCTGTGCCACCAAACCCCTTCTTCCTGTGGTCATGGAGAGAAAGGAAAGGCCATCACCTGACTGTTCAGACACTCACAGCCCATCAGCACACTGCTCCTGCCTGTGGGGCACAAATCCTGCTGCTCCAGCTTTCCAGGGCTGACACAGGAGCACTGCCAGGAGTGCTGCTACTGACTGCAGCCATGAACATACCAGTTCAGCTTTAGCTTTCTGTTCAAAGATTCCTTTATTCTGTTAACTTAAGTGTTTGCAGGAAGTCAGCCTCTTCCACATCTCCCCTGCACATAAAAAGCTAAATGATCCACCCTTAAAATCACTTGGTTTAATTTGTTGTCAGCTGCCTTTCTGCTCTGGCCAGCTCCATGGATTTCTCCCTCTGCCAACTTCCTTCTCATTACTCTCTCACTTTGTTCTCGAAGCTGAAGTGCCACAGCACACTTGTACCACATTTTACTTCATAGAGAACAACTTCTAAAATTAGCATTTTCTCAGCCATTTTCCCTATCACCTGCATGCTGCTGTTCTGCCTTGGAGGGGAGGAGGTTCCCAGCTCCCAGAGGAAGGAAAGGGCAGTCTGGGCTGTGCTCCTGCCTCTGCCCTTTCCCTGCTTTGGGCAGTGACTTCCCAAGGCCTGTGCTATCTGCAGGAGTAGGAAGTGCACTGGGGCACACGTCCTGGAACAGGGCAGAGAACAGCTCAGGAAGCTCTGGGCTTGCTTAAGGCAGCAGGGACAGACAGATTAACATCCTGTGCCAAATTCAAACCACGTCACCGGCTTCTGGTGACTGCACCAACTGCAGAAACAACTTTTTCCCTGTTAAAATGCAATGCTCTGCACCACGTTTGTGCTCATTTTCAAGCTGAAAAGGCCCTGGATCACAAGCCCAATCTGTTACAAAGTGACAAAGGATTATCTGAACAGAAATACAACACAGAACATGTGGGACAAAAAAAACCTGTGTTGTTTATCAACACACCTGTCAGAGGGCACCGAAATCAAAGAGCACAGAAACCTTCTCAAAAACGCTTCACTTCACTTGGAATGTTTCCACAAGACACGAACCACTGCAGGCTGCCCAGCAGCTCCTCTTGGCACTACAGCTGGGCTGAGCAGGCAGGAGCAGAAGGAGTTTCCTGGCCTGCCAGGGGAGGGTTGGTACTCACAGCACTAACTGGGCGCTGTCGTGTCTCCGCCGCACCACGAGGTTCTTCTCTCGCCACTGCACGAAGTTCCAGAGCACATCCCCAGCCCCCCCGTCCATGCTGATCATGTTTTCGTACTTCCAGATCTCCAGCCCGACCAGCACGATGCGGATGTTCAGCATGATGTACATCTGGGGGAGGAAATAAAGAGGAGAAGTGTTTATTAACGCCTTCAGATAAAAACAAGTGGCTCGGTGCTATAGATCTTATTGCAAGTATCCACCTTTTTCTGTGTGGGTTTGATTTTTTTTCCCCCCCCACAGCTAGCACACAATTGGAATCAGCAGAATGCATTTGCCCTGTAGTTTAGACCTTCATTAGGTGAAGGATCAATGCTTAAATGCCACACTGTAAAAAAGACACCAAACAGAAATAAAAAGGAGTCTCAATCCTGAGAAATATCATCTGAAACAGTCAAGTTACAGATTAACTCACTTACCCTAACCTTTACACAGACACAGGAATTGCAATAATTGCAACAATCTGTCCTGTCGCTGTACTTAGCAAAGGTTGGAAGAGTTCCCTAAACTAACTCTCCAGGTGGTTGGCTGCAGATGAATTTAGAGGTGGAAAAGCTTCCACGGTGATGCATTCCCTGAAGTGGTACCAGAACAGACCCTGAGGGGGAAGTTTACAAAAGGCAGCAGAGCTGCAGCACACAGCATCCCTGCTACTCACACTGTCAAGCAGGTTTGCCAGCTGCACCATGTGTTCTCTTACTTCTGTTTCACTCTTCCCAAAATCTTCGAACTGCAAGACAAAAAAAAAATATTAGTCATGAAGAGAAGAGATAAAAGATAAGAGTCAGAAGAAGGAACAGAACATTTTAAGACTACGAACATCAAAAACATTTTTGTCTGGCTCCAAATCTCCAAGATGCTGTGAATCAAGAGAGCTCAACAGCTCGATATTCCAAAGAAAACAGCAGAGGCAGTTTTTTACCATGTGCTTTCCTTTCATTACAAGATTCCTTGCTGACAGAACCTCTCCATGTCTGTTAGTTTACACCTTTCCTGAGGAGGATTGCATAGCACACATTCATCCACTTCTAGGGTAGCATATTTGCATAATCTTGGCTAAAGTGTCAGTGTTTTTCAACAAGCCATTTGGGAGTAACAAAGCCTGAGGGCTTTCCAGGCCCACTCCTGAGGAGAAGAAAGGGGAAGCCACACACAGTCCCTACCTTTTCTTTATCCACAACTATGAACAGCTCCACATATCTTGTCTGGTGCAGGACTGCTCTCTTTCTCTGGGGAAAAAAAGTTTTAGACAACTTCAGTTTTATTAATTCCCATGTAAACAAGAAAAAAAAAAACCCAAACCTCATGACATTGTCATATTTCACTCGATACAACCAGTGGTTTGAGACACACCCAAAGCACAGGGTGCCAAACACAAGCAGTGTAATCCAATGCAATGACCATTTCTGGGTTTTACACTAAAACTCAGCTTGCACAAAGACTTCCTGTGTCTCAAAAGTAAGGGATCTTTTCACTCTCCACACAGGTCACTTTGAAAAGACAGCACACACTTTAATAAAGGGGCACAAAGATACTACAAGCAAATGCCAACAACCTTGAAGTGAAACACAGCGTTTCTCATTCCCCTGCTTTCACTGGAATCCTGTTCCTGCACAGCCAGTCCTTGAAGGGCAAGGAGGACCTTCACACCAAACTGCTCTTGTGGTGGTGAGGAGGATGGAATGAACACCACAATGTTCTCCTGGCTCCTGATGCAGCACTTCCTTAACAAGCCTCCCCACCAGGGTGGTGTTCCTGGCCTTAAAAGCCCCCCCAAAAGGCCCAGGAATATTCTAAGCAGCTGCTCCCCCCTCACTGCCCCGTGCAGAGGCAGGAGGAAACTGCAGCTGCTTTTGGTGAAGGGACTGAGTTTTCCAGCAGTGCAGAAACCTCCCAAATCATAAACCTTTAGGTATGTGCTAAGCCCAAGGAAATCTGCTAAGCTGCTTCCATCCTCTGAGGTGAACTCACAAAACCCATTACAGGGGACTGGGAAGGGCTTACCCGGAGCAGCTGGGTCATACTGGGATGGGGGTTTCCCTCTGCCTGTTCCTCTTCCTGGCCTTCAGTGCTCGCTCCACACGTCGTGGGCTCTTTCTTCACATTATCCAGTCGATACAAAATGTGTTCAGAGCCAGAGGAGGAATCCATGGGCTCAATCCCGTAAGTGACATTCCCTATTGTCACCAAGCCCCTAAAACATGGCAGTGTGTGAGAAACCCAGCACTAAGCACAGAGGGCAGTTACCCAGAAAGCAGAACAAAGGAACAGTTATTGCTGGATAACCAAGGCCTGCCTGTATCTCAGTCCTTGCAAACCAGCACACTCCACTTCAGGCCTGGCAGCAGCCTTTCACTGGAGGGGGCCTTACAAATCCAGTAAATTAAACACTTCTGTAGGAATCTGCAATGCCCCAGGAATTACATCACAGGCCTTAAGCAGAAATGCTTTAGTTCAAATACACTATTGCCACTCTGGTGCCTGGCATGGCCCTGCAAAAAAAAAAATCAGTGGCTCAAAACATTAGACCAAAAGGCAATCAGACCAAAGCAGAATAAATTTTCAATCAAACTTGAGGTGCACAAGCTTTAGGGCCAATTTGGTGAAATTTGCAGACTAGTGTTTGACTTTTCATTTCTGCACTTAGGTCCAGTTCCTTGACATGACCATCTGTGCAAATCAGAAAATAAGAGAAATCTGTGTCAAAACCAACCTACTGGTAACAAACTGCAGTAATAACTTAATAGTACTTCAAATATCTGGGAACTCCACGAATAAAAGATGCCATAGGACAACAGCACCAAGGCAGCTCGGCCTGGCCAGTGACCCCCTGACTGGCTGAGCTGCAGCTAAAACCAGCAGAACTGGGTTTCAGGGTCAGCAGCCACGACATGACAGACAGGACACAAAGGATGAGGTGTGCTACCTGAGCCCTGAGCAAGTGCTGACAGCCACCACGGAATCCAGGGTCCCCTCCACGTGTCCCTGATAATGGCAGTGATCCTGGGGGGGAAAACAAGGGCGTGTTACACACGTGTTCCAGGAGTACCTGCACACCCAGGGGGACCTCTGACCCACCACTGACCAGCTGTGACTACAGTCTGAGAAAACAAAAGGCTTGCAGTTAGATTCACCACATGCCTTACAGTCTGCAGCTTCTAACACTGTTCCAGCTCTACCACATTTGCTCACGTGCATCTAAAGGTTTCCTCACCTGCCTTGGTCCCACGAGAACTGACACACATGGCACCAGCCAAGATGCCAGGACACAGGACTCAGCAGGATCCCTGCTCCTGTAAAGCAGACGCTCCTCCCAGCTCAAAGGGGCCAGCAGCTCACTATGGGTTTCAGTTTGAGAGCCCACTGGCCCCTCAGCCCTTCCTCCTGCAGCCAGACTCGGAGCTGCCGACACGGGAGGGACACCAGGAGAGCAGGCCTGGAGCCTTATCCAGCAGCTGGATTTCTTAACATGACCCAGGCTACCCCTTCTCCTGTTCCATCCTCCACCCTGCCTCAAACATTTCGAGGCCAGCCCCTCCCTACAGATTTGGGCCAATTCAGTCTTCTGGCAAACAGTCCGGCTTGTCCACGGCCTCTCTGCAGCAGGAGGAGGGACAGGATCTGCTGTCCTCACCCACCAGCACTGCCACAGCTCTCTGGCTCTGCAGGACAGCCCTGACAGAGGGAACACTTTCCCTGTGCCCTCCAGATACATGTATCTTAGAAACTAGACAAGGGTAGCACGGGGCAAATACACTCCATTTTCTCTGGCAGGGGCATTTCTGGACACTTACAGGGGTTTATAATACAGACTCTGTCACCTGTTGCTCAGCAAGGAAAGCAGAAAGCACTTAAGGCATGTGCTAATCCTTCAGGGCCACTGTGACTCGACCTCGTGAAGAAAAAGCATTTTTCCTCTACTCAATCCCTTTTAACTAGGAAGCAAATACTCAGTTGACTCAGGTGTTCTACTTTCAAGAACAAGATCCTATGAATCATGCATGACTAACACTTCCCTTTCAAAGGAAGAGTGGAGCCATCAGAAATACTCTCATGCATTTTGTATCACACAACCTGCTTTTTACTCCCATTCCACTGGAGCAGTTACATTTCCACAGGCAGCCTGTCAGGCAGGCTGCTCGTGCAGGAGGAGGCTGCAAATGCACTTTGAGGGGAGTAACTCCAGTGCTGCACAGATCACATCCTCTCAGAGGTCCTCCATCTCAATCATCCCTTCCAGCAGCTCCCAAACTTCAGGACTAATGGGTCTCCTGTCAGCCCCCCAGAGGGGTCAGTCACCACGAGCCAGCCCTGCTGAACGGAGGGTCAGCAGTGACCGTTCACGCTGGCTCGGGGACCCTTCTGGAAGCCCATTGTGTGCAAAAACAAAGCAAAGCTGCTGTACAGTCCCCAGAGCACCCAGTGCTGCCCCACAGGCTCCTGCCCTTGGGAGAAGGAAGGCAGAAGTGACACCAGCCCCACGCTGGGCTGTGTGACAAGGACAGGACTGCTCTGACAACGAGACAGCGACAGCTGAGAGCAGCACTGCCTTTTAGAGAAAGAGCAGCTTTTAATGAGACAGCAACCACCTCCACATCAGAAAACACGTGTCTATTACAGGCTAGATCCTCATCCAAAATTAAGGATTCTCTCCAGGAAGAGGGCAGTGGGTCCTGAAGGTGGCCCAGCAGAAAATACAACTATCCTTTTGTAATCCTTGACTTCATAGATTCTCAGTGTTCCAGTCACCTTCAGTGCAGGCATGAAAAGAAAGAAATCCTACCTGGACATCTGGATATTTCAATTGCAACTTTCCCTCCTTGTCATAGGTATAAACTGTGAAATCTTTGGGCAGCAGTTCTCTGCAAGGAAAGGGGAGAAGGAACACAAGAGGAATTTCACGAAATGACACTTGAGCAGAGGACCAAGATGATACTAATCAAAAGTGTGACAAATATGTAAAATGCAATTAAATAAGGAAGCACTCAAAAGGAAAAACCTCCAAAATTAACAAAGAAATTGTGCATTTCCACAGCAAAATCCTAGAGAGCAGAATAGTGGAACTGTTAATGAAATCAAATGAACCACTCAGAGGGTAAAACAAGCAGCAAAACCCATTCAATTGTGCTAAAAGCCTGTTTTCAAGCAAGAAAAAAAATCCCAGCCCTCAGTCTGCTGCACATGCCTTCTCTTGCCCAGTTTTGGGAGAAAGTGCACTGGGAAAGTCTCCCACGACTAAGATTGCTGCGCCATCCTGGTAATTCCATTGATGTGGTGCAGCTGAATTCCCACGTCTCTGAGGGTCAGAGCCTTGGCAAGTGGCAGCTGGAGCTCCCCAGGGACTTGTACAGTTGTGTCTCTATCACGAGGGCAGCTTGGAGCAGCAGTGGCCACGTGCTGGTGCTCTAAGTGGCCCTTTAACACTTCAGCCCCAAATTGACAGCATCTGTCTTGGCTGGGAGCTATCAGTGGCCCTGGATGGAAAGTCAGTTCCCTCATTTATTAGTGTCCTTGTGCTACTGAGACAGGAAAAAACACAAGCCTAAAGCAATAAACCAAACCCAGACAAAAGTGAAAATATTTACTCGAAATGCAGTTCAGCTTGTTTATTTTTAGCTGTGAATGGAAAGAGTCGCCTCCACGGTTTCCCAGATCCCCTCTGAGCAAACTGCAGCTTCCTGCTCTGAAAGGGGATCCCAGGGCTGCAGGAACCTAAAAACGTCTCTGGCTGATAGCCAGGACTCTGGGACTCAATCTCTTCCCCTTTTGCAGAGCTGGGATGTTCCTGCACTCCCCACAGAGAACCCCAGGAAGTGGAACTCGTGTGCTACCTGCCAGCTTGTCACCTGGACACCACAGATGGAAGGAACTCATCACTTACTTGTTCTTCTCCAGATGAATCGTGTATTCCTGTCCCTCGATCTCGATCGCATACGACACTTTGTCCTGAATATAAAAACAAAAAAAGTTGCATTTTACTCGTGCCAATGAATAAAACATTCTTGGAAATCCACAAAAGCGAGTGAGCCTGGAATCTGTTTTATAATTGTCCCTGCCTCCAGAAGCTGGCATCCCTTCCTGTGTAACTGGGGAATGATTTCTTGACCCCTCTTGAAGCTCATTCCAGTGCTGAACAACTCTCATGATGCAACTTTTTACACCCAGATCAAAAACCCACTGCAGCAACTGGTGGTTAGCTACAGGCAGTGCTGGAGGTGATACCCTCTGCAAGGATGGATGCTTGCCTGCTGCAGGCTGAGTCTGACAGCATTCCATGAGCCTTTCAGGCCAGGTTTGGGTGGATCTCGTTAGGAAGCAGACACTAAACTGAAGGTGAGGCTGCCCAATACCTGCACTGAGGAGCTGTTGGAAGCCTCTCGCCGTTCCCTTCCCAACCTCTGCGGGGTTACAACTTCATAGGAAGAGAGCAGGGAAATCTGCTGGAAACCTGGAAAGCAGGAGAGAAACGCTGGCTAAAGGAACAAAGCAATCAGAAGCACCAGGCACAGGGAAGAAAACACTGTCTCAGGAAAAGCACAGGGGAAACCTCCCAGCAAGACACGCCTGGATTGCACACTTGGGTTGCCTTGTGAGGGGCCAGAGAAAACAACACACAAACAGCAGAGAAGACACCAAATTTACCAGAAAGTTTCAAAACTAAACCTTCCCATTCCAATTACTGCCTTACCAGCACCCATCTCCCACACCACCACCCTCCACCAGCAGGAATGGAGCATTTAAAGCGGGTCAGTGCAGGGAGGACTCGCCCAAGGACTTCCAGGCAGTGTCCCCCCAGCTGTCCTGTGCTGCAGAGCTGCACAACTGCCCCGGCTCAGCTCTCTCCAGGAGCTCCAGCAGCTCCTGCACTTCCCGACAGCACAGCTCAGCCTCACACCCTCGCCCTGCTCAGCACAGCCAAACCCCTGACACGAGCCTGATGCTATTCATTATGTCCTTAAACAGCTCTCAAGGGCCTCATCAAAACAACTGAGGTGAAACAAATCCCTGCAACAAAGTGGCCCTCGCGGATCCCTTTAGGTACTATTTGCATATGCAACATCAGACAGATCCCCTGAACCAAACACAAATCCAGAGTTCAAGCTCCCTCCATAAAACATCAGGTTTTGCAAGCAACTCTTTTACATCAACTGTGTAAACAACAATAAACTGCACATGCAAATCACTTTTCCTGTCATGGTGGTGTCTGCCAGTGCCTGGCTCGGGAGCTGCTCCCCCAGGAAGCAGGAGGTTGGTCGCCCAGGATCGAAGGCAGGATCCAGAGCAGTGGTTTTACTGGCTCATGGCAATGGAATCAATGAGCTCATCAGAGGAGCCTGAGCTTCCCGACAAACGTAGGGGGAAGGGAACAGTTATCCTCAGCATCTGCCTCCAGAAATCATCACCGTGTCTGGGGCAGGTGAGTGAGTGTGTGCTTGGTGTCCGAGATACTCCAAAAACTCTCAAGTGGGACTAGGATGCTGCATCCATCTAAAACCAGCCCCTCTGGGCACACCAAAACTCACACCACACCTCCAAAGGGCCTTTGGCTTCTCCAGTCAAAGGACAGCTCTGTGAGCTCAAAGCCCCCATGGAAAGCCTGTTCCATCCTTTGGGAATTGGGCAGAGTCCCCACAAAGGCTTTAAATGCCAGGGGTTCCCCAAAGGCCCCCAGGCTGCAGTGACATTCTGGCTCCTGCAGATGCTTTTGCTGCCTCTTCCCATCCTGGCAGGCTGACACACATCACCTCAGGTCAGCACTCAAACAGGAATCCCACGGGAAAAGCACATCCACTTCCGCACTCTTCCCACCAGTCTCCCCAAAGAACAAGCCATGGGGTCACTTCCAGCTTCCCTCCCATAACTGTGTGTCCATGTCTGGAGGCCACGGATCCACTGCACTGCCCCAGCCTGTCACACTGCAATTCTGCCCCCTGAGCACAGGCACAGCCAGGCTGCTTCTTGGGAAATCACACAGGGCAAATACTGCAGCAGAACGTTCATTAATTACGGTGTTTATCGAACAAAAGGTATTTAAAAGCCAGAGATAAAATTCCTGAAAGCAACCCCTTACGGTCACCAGCTCCAGAACACAGTGTCAATACCTCCTTGGCCCGAAAACAGAGGAGGGAAGGGACGTTTCCTCCCCTGGGATGAACCTCCAAAAGCACACACTGCAGCAATCACTTCTCTACATCTGTCATTTCCAACCACACACTCCACTCGTGCCCAGCCCCAAGCTCCTGCAGGTCACTGCTCTGCACTTGTCCCTTCCCCCTGCCAGCCCCAACTGCCTGTTGTAGTGGGATGTGACATTGTGGCACCTGGACCAGGTCCTGGAGGTCTCAGGGCACAGGTTACACAAACAGCAGGGCACAGCCAACCTTCACAGCACTTGGAACACGACACGTCTCCCCAAGAGCTGCTTGGAAGCAGAAGACAAAGAAGTGAATCATCACATGAAGCAGAACTGGGAGGGATTTCTGGGAAGACTGCAACTCCAAGAAGATCCTCTTAGAGCAGAGGCACTAAAAGAAGCCAATTTTCAACTCTCTGAATACTCTGACAATTCTCTCCCCACTTTCTGCCCTCCTTCCCTCCCTTCCCACCCCGAATTTGGGAGGTGATGGGGAGTCTCCAGCAGGGAGACCACTGCAATACATCAATGGTTCTCTAGCACAGCCGTTTGTAATAAATCTTTCAGCAAGTTACAGGACTTCTGGTCCTCAGGTGCTTCCTGCCACTGGCCAAGGCAGCTGTCAGAGCTGGACCACGTCACCACCGAGAACACGCTGCTGCTGCTCCATCCCCGGCTGGAACACGGGCTGGGATCGTGTTTCCCAAGAGAGAAACACCACTGCATCCGCCACACTTATCTCATTAAAGGCTGCCATTAATTACCAAGCATTGGATTCGTGAATCACCTTCCCCTCCCAGCCCCAAATCCACCGTAGGAATTCTGTGCACGCTCCATGGCATGTGGGAGCTTGAAGAGCACGGGAACACATCACAGCCATAACGGCTCCCCAGACACTGAGGTGAGCTCTTGGGGTGTTCACTGCCTGACAGGTAAGATCTATATTCAGCAAAGGTCATGCTGCATCCCCTGTCCTCCTTGACCTTGGCATGCCCACGGGTTGCTGGCTCAGCTACAGAGTCCCAGCACACAGCTACATCCACCTACACTCACCTTTCCCCTCATTATCATCCTTCCTGGGCTGTGACTCTTTCCCAAGACTACCAAAGGGAAGTCAAAGATACGCTCTTAAATGGAAGAAGAAGACAAAAAAAAAGTTGAGACTGTGGCCTATTACACCCCCAACTAAACTAATTTCATAAAAACCAGCTTAGCAGCACATGAGTAGCTCAGCAGCTTGGGCTGCAGGCAGATGCTAACAAGGGACATGCCATAAACCCCACAGAGGAGGAAGATTGTGTGACCCAAACCATGCTAAACCCAGGGCATCAGTCCACAGCAATGAGTTCTAACCTTCCATCAACCACGCACGTGAGTCAAGAGATACACATTGCTAAAGTATTAAATACCCAAACTCATCAAATTGACCCTGGTTATCATCAATTACAATTAACAGCCGAGGTCAGCCACACCAGTCCTTCCACACTCTGGCAGGGGATTGCTCACCAGAAGTGCCAAAAGCCTTACACACCATCCAGCCCATCGGGGCCCAGGGCAGGACCAGTCCCACAGAGAGCAGCTCCACTAAGCAATCTGATCTCCCACAGATCATGTTTGTTGTGCTTTAAGCCGTACCTCTAATCCCCACAGGAGGTGAACAGTTCACTCCCTTCTCTCTGGCTGCAAATTTTTAGATTTCCACAGTGTGCTGTCACAATTCCCTCTCCTTTCCTTCAACTAAGGAACACCAGTGTTCAATATTTCCTTGTGGAACCTATATCTTACACCCCTGCCTGTTCATATTAGGCTGTTCTGGCTCCACTCTCCAGTCGGACCGTACCTATCCCAAAAAAGGACCCATGACAGAACACAACAGCCCAGTGAGACCTCACATGTACCAAGGCATGCATGCTTTGTGTGTTTATGGATCTCCACAGGTTAATCTTCCTCCAAAACAGATGGCATGTGGCTGATTCACTTGTCATTTAACCTACTCCAACACTCACTCCCTTTCCGGCCAACACACTCCTGCTCCCCGTTTTTCACCCTCTCATACTTGTGATCTCGTGCACACAATTATTTCCACCTCAGCAGAACACTTTGCACTGTCCTTTCAAAGCCACTTCTTTCTGCCAGATACTTCTCTCATGTGTCCAAATCACTGGGAGTGCTATCCCTGCCTTTAAGGAGCCTGAATCCCAACCGGCTGGAAGGGCACCAGCTGCCAGATCAATCTGCATTCTCCGTATCCTATTTTCAGAATCATGATGGACTTTGCCAAGCAGTGTCTGTTTGAGGAGAAACTTCCATGGCCTGGCTTACAGACGTCCTTCAGAACAACAGAACCACCACTGCTTCCTCAGTGGATTTCTCCAAGCAATGACACACCAGGAAAAGCGTTTTCAGGTGCAGTTGACTTTTCCACTAAGGTCACAGCTGTAGTAGGATTTACTCTTTGGGTTACTGGAAGTAAACACCTCCTTCACTTTCATTATGTAAATATTATCCAAGTCCACTTAAAAACGTTTAGAGGTTTATACAAAACACAAAGCTAGTGAGTCTTCCACTAAAAGTAGGAACATGTCCTGTGGGGTCAGCAGTTCCAGCTCCTCCCATACCTCAAAGGCTAAAAAGAGTGCCTTGGTGGTTCTTCATCTTCAAAGCACCCAGGAACATCTGGCCAGCTGTTCTTCGACAAGGGACTTTTCTTTCCATCTGTTCCCTCCCCTGTGCTCAGTCCTCAGACCTGCTGGGTCTCCTGCTGTCCCAGTGCCTCTCAGAAGGCAGGAAGAGGTGACCAACCCTCATGGCACCATCTACTCCCTGGGTTGCTCACCTGGAATATTTGTGTAACATTAAAGCTGGCCAGAACAGTTAATGCAGTTTCTCTCAGTATCTCACTGGGGGTGTTGGACACTGATGAGGTTACAGGGCTCTTCCACAGCAATATTTCCTAGAAAATTCTTACCTTCCCCTTGCTGAAATCCAGACCTATGCTGTAAGTGTTTCCTGTCTAGACTCTCCCCATTCCTTCTGCCCTTCCTAAAGCAACACCAATTTGTCTGCAAGACAACAGCTCCCCTTGTTCCACAAAAAGGACTGTCACACGTGTCTGCTGGTACTGTCTCAAGATCCTCTGCACCCTGGAACCTTCTCACAAGGAGAAGCAGGGCAGAGCCCAATACCCTGTGGAGGAAGATGAATAACCTCACCGTGACACCCTTCCTCTGCATCAATGGCCCTGAAGTCCCTCCCTTCCAGCCCTGACAACGTGTCCATGGAGAGGAGCTGAGCACATGGAGCCCACTCACTTCCTGCCCACCTCAGCAGCTGTGAGTGTCAGCTCTGCTGACACAGCAGAGTCCGTGGGGACCTTCTCTTTGGAGATTCTGGCTTTACATTTGGCCACCAAAGGGAACCGTGCAATGCATTTTTTTTTTATTTTTTTTTTTTAATTTTGGCTTGGGAAATGAGAACGATGGAGATGGGCAGAGACTCCAAAGTAATGGTTCAAACCTCCTTTTTCTGAAAGCAAAGGACTACAACAGGCAACATTAGCCACAC